CAATAGTGGAAAGAGCCAAGATGCCTTTCAACAGATGTGAATGGATAAAGAAGATGTGGTCCATATATACAATGGAATATGACTCAGCCATCAGAAAGGATGAATACCCAACTTTTACATCAACATGTTTGGGACTGCAGGAGATTATGCTAAGTGAAATAAGTCAAGCAGAGAAAGTCAATTATCATATGGTTTCACTTATTTGTAGAACATAAGGAATTGCATAGAGGACATTAGGAGAAGGAAGGAAAAGGGGGGGAAATCGGAGGGAGAGATGAACCATGAGAGACTATGGACTCTGAGAAACAAACTGAGGGTTTTAGAGGGGAGGGGGGCCGGGGGATGGGTTAGCCTGGTGATGGGTATTAAGGAGGGCACCTACTGCATGGAGCACTGGGTGTTATACAAAAACAATGAATCGTGGATCACTACATCAAAAACTAATGATGTATTGTACGGTAAGTAACATAATAAAATAAAATTTAAAAAAATATTTCACAAAGCTAAAAGTTAAACATTTTAACTTCTAATGTTGCTAAAACCAAATACTTACTGTTTAAAAATAAAATCCAGAGGGGGTGCCTGGGTGGCTCAGTTGGTTAAGCGTCCAAATCTTGACTTCTGCTAGGGTCATGATCTCAGGGTCGTGAGAGTGAGCCCTGTGTAAGGCTCTGGGCTGGATGTGGAGACTGCTTGAGATTCTCTCTCTCCCTCTGCACACCCCCCACCTCAAAAAAATAAAATAAAATCCAGAAACTGAATTTTATCACGTAAAATTAGTTTAGTTATATAAAACAATATAAACACCTTCATTTTCATCACGGTTAAACTGTCCAATATAATTAATTTATTTAACTAATGTTTAACCAGTGTCTACATGCAAAGCACTCTGATAATTACTGGGGATGTAAAGACAGATCTGAGATCTGTAAAATCATGATCACCTCTTTATAAGAATTTAAAGCATAAAGAAATGCTTTCCAATGATATTATTTCTTGAATCAACTGGTTTCTCTCCCAGTGACTTAAAAACTAGTAAGGGGCGCCTGGGTGGCTCAGTCGTTAAGCGTCTGCCTTCGGCTCAGGTCATGATCCCAGGGTCCTGGGATCGAGCCCCGCATCGGGCTCCCTGCTCT